AGCAGGAATATGGGTTTAAGTTGTCTCCTTCTAACCAACACCACTTCAATGCTACTCTAGTTTCGCTACTATTCTTGCTCTTTCCTTAAGATACATATTTCTTCATATATTTATATTTGCTTTGCTTTTACACACTGATTAGTTTTCAGGAAAAATGCAAAACATTACATTACTTGTCATTCAAGATGAACTATTCCTGTTACTTAAAGGGAGCTGCTCCATTGTTAATTTATGAAAATGGCCAGCAGAAAACTCAGCTGAACTCAGTATTGTACTTCATCAATTTGGCATCCATACTGATGCCTAGCTGATGTCTGTAACCTAAGAAAAAGACTGAATTCAGCCATTTTAATACCAAATCCTTTGTTTTAACTGTCAACAAAACAGTAAGACAACACAGCAATCATACAACACTCCCCACAATTCCCTCCAATGCAACTGCTGAAGAAATAGCAGGATCAAAGACAGCAGCATTTTACAAATCCCACTCAATGCTCACACACCAGCTGCATCTGATTGACTTATACAAGCAAAAGGATTGATCTGATTGACTAAAACAGGCAAAGAGATTTAATATGAAGTTGTAAAATTTGAAAGAGTAAAGCTAATTAAGCAAGTCGGTAACATAAAATAAACAAAGTCCTTCTGTTTTATTAACAGATGAAGTGCCTAAGCCAGGTACTCACGTGTTGGAAACTGAGGTAAACATGGATTACCATCATCTTGTTTGAGCTGGATTCGTACTCTACCTCTGTACTGCATATCTCTGTTCCACTCTCTGGGATACATCTTATTTTTCTGTCATACAAAAGGAAACACTTGTTATAAAAGTACTGTAATAACTGAGCTAAGTCATAGCAGCCTGGAATACTAACGGATGTAAACCATAACTGTAGCTCACCAACAGTGTCACCCACTACTTAGCCACCGCAGTTTTCAAAAGCACTGCTGCAACCAGTACTGGTACCGAACAATTTAGCAAGTAATCTGCTACAGGGACTGCTCCACCTCCCCACCAGTCTGGACTGCAGTGACACAGGTTTTTATTTCATCTCCTCAGCCACAAACCCTTCTGGATAAATAGAGACAGATGTCACACGTCACAGTCTGAGGCCCACTGCTTGGAGATAATCCAGCCTCTATTTTTGTTAAAATGTCACAGGCTTCTTATTGATACTAGCTATTTCACAGGAGGAGTGCACTAATCTGACTATAGTAGACTTCTGAAAAGCAAAGTGATTCTGGTTTTGGGTACCAGTCACTCTCTTAGATGAGGACCTAAATTCTTAGAAAATTCAACAGTGTTTTAAATTAGTGATTACTTCAGAAACTGAACTGCAAAAGGTTACCTCTCTAGAAACCCAGACTCATTCCCTAATAAAAAAGCAACCAACTTCACCTATTTAAAAAGCAAGCAGGTATTGCACTAAAAAATGAACCTTCTCTGGCTAAAACGTAACTAGTTTTTTTTTTTTTCCTTTGTTACCTCTAACAGCACGTTCAATCCAACTGCTGCACATACGTCCTGGATTTCTGTAGATGTGGGATTTTCAACAGCCTGTTGAAACAACATTTTACAGTTAAATGTTTTTCCCTGATGAACTACTTACGCAGCACTAGTTAGCAGATTCCACCCTATTCTCTGTAACTAGAAAAAGGAGATGGGTAAAGAGAAAGTACTTCAAATACTGACAAATCTACTGTAGAAGTCACCTATGAGTGCTCATAAAGTATAAAAACAACAACAGAAAAAAAAGATATAAAACATCAGAAGAATGGCAAACAGATGAAAATTAATTAGCACAGGGGAAGTTAAAGCATTGCTGAGAAGTAACTGAAATGAAATAACTTTGATTGTATTTACAAAAAAAAAA